CAATGTTGAAAAAGAGTAATGAGGCATCCTTACCTTCTTCCTAGTCTAAGTAGGAAAGCTTCAAATTTCTCAACATTGCATATGACATAACCGATTTTTTGGCAGATATGCCTTATCCAGTTGAGAGAGTTTCCCTTCATAGTTTTTATCATAAATAGGTGTTGGGTTTTGTCAAATGCCTTTGCTGCAGTTCTTGCTTTGATCATGTGTTTTTTTCTTGATGTGATCAGTTGCATTAATTGATTTTCAAATATTAAACCAGCCATGTATAACAGAGATGAATCCTACTTGGTCATGGTGTATATTTATTTTTACATATTATTGGGTTAGATTTGTTAATGTTTTGATAATCTTTGCATCTATATTCATAAGAGATATTAGTTTCTATTTTCTTTTCTTGTAATATATTGGTATGGATTCAATCTCAGGGTATGCCAGTCTCATAGAATGAATTAGGAAGTCTGTTCTCTACTTCCATTCTCTGAAAAATATTGTAAAGAATTGGTATGATATCTCCCTTAAATATTTGGTGGAATTCACTAGTTAACCCATCTAGGCTTGATGCTTTCTGTTCTGAAAGGTTATCCATTATGGATTCACTTACCTTTTTCTTTCAACTCCATGTTTTCCCCATTCACAACACAGGGCCTGGGCTGAGGCATATATAGGGTAGGTTTGCTCTGTTTCCTTTTTCTATACAGTCAGTGTAAGAACACAGCCTGTGGTAAGCACCAGGAGGCCCTGGTTTGATTTGTTTACTAGATATGGGCCAATAGAGATTGCTTATTTCTTCTTGTGAGCATTTTGGCAGATTGTGTGTCTTTTGAGGAATTGGTCAATTTAATGTAGGTTATGAAATCTATGGTATACAAGGTGGGGACCAAAGTTTACCTGTATGATGATCATTTGTATATCTAATCCTGAATTGTACCCCACATTGTTAAAATAAAAAATAAAATATCTTACCAAATAACTTAGAAAAAAATTTATGACATAGAGTTGTTTATAGTATTCCTTTATTATCCTTTTAATGTCCATAGAAGGTGTAGTGATAATCCCCTCTCTCATTTCCAATATTAGGAATTTTTGTTCTCCTTTTTTTCTTAATTAGCCTTGCTAGAGTTTTATCAGTTTTGTTGATCTTTTCAAAGAACCAGTTTTTGGTTTCATTGATTTTTCTCTACTAATTTTTTGTTTTTAATTTCATGAATTTATTTTCTTCTGCTTACTTTGGATTTAATCTGCTATTGTTTTTCTAGTTTCTTAGGATAGAAACTTAAATGATTGATTTTATATATTTCTTCTTTCCTAATATATGTATTCAATGCTATAAACATTCCTCTAAGCACTGATTTTGCTGAATGTCACAAATTTTAATATGTTGTGTTTTCATTTTTATTTAGTCAAAACATTTTTAAAATTTCTTTTTTGATTTCCTGTTTGATCCATTTGTTTTGTAAAAGTGTGGTGTTTAATTGTCATATATTTTGAGATTTTTTTTTTTAGTTACCTTTCTGTTGTTGATTTCCATTGCAGTCTGAGAGAAGACATTGTATAATTTCTAGTTTTTAAATTTGTTACAGTGTGTTTTATGGCCTATAATATGGTTCATCTTGGTGAATGTACCATGTGAGTTTTGGAAAAATGTGTATCCTACTGTTGTTGGATAAAGAAGTTTATAGATGTCAATTACATTCTGTTGATTAATGGTGTTGTTGAGGTCACTCATGGCCTTGCTAATTTTTTGCCTGCTGGATCTGTCCATTTCTAATAAAGGGGTGTTGAAGTCTCCAATTATGATAGGAAATTAATCTTTTTTTCCTTGCAATTCTATCAGTTTTTGCTTCACATGGTTTGACAGTCTATTGTTAAGCACATATACATTAGAGATTGCTATGCCTTCTTGGAAAATTGACCTCTTTATCATTATATAATATACTTCTTTATTCCTAATAACTTTCCTTGAAGTCTGTATTGTCTGAAATTAATATAGCTACTTTTGCTTTCTTTTAATTAGTATTGGCAAGATACGTTTCTCTCCATTTATTTAGTATTAATTTATATGTGTTTTTATATTTAAAGTAGATTTCTGGAAGCAACATATGTTGGGTTTGGTTTTTTTTTTTTTTTTCCCACTTTGAAAATCTCCTTTACCTGGCACATTTAGACCACTGATGTTCAAATTGATTATTGATATGTTGAATAAATATCTATTATGCTTGTTGCTATTTTCTATTTGTTGCCCTTTCTCTTGAATTGTAATTTTGTTAACTCTTTTTTCATCCTTTTATGGTTTTAGCTTCACAAGTAGGAGCAGTAACTTATTAATATATTAACAAAATCATCCTGATTCTTATCCCCATCCTTTGTATAATTGCTATCATTTGTTTCACTTATATACAGGCATACATAATTATAAATCTAATAGAAGCATACATAATCAAATGCATTGTTGGTACTATTGTTTGGAACATTTGCCTGTGAGATAAATTAAGAATAAGAAAAATAATTTTTCATTTTATCTTACTTATTCATTTTTATGCTTTTTCATTTTTATATAGATCTAAGTTTCTGACCTATAATATTTTTCTTCTCTCTAAAAACCTTATTTTAACATTTCTTTCAAGGCAGTTTTACTGGCAATAAATTGCCTCAATTTTTTGTCTTAAAAGTCTTTATTTCTACCTTACCTTGGAAGGAGAATTTCAGCAGGTACGGAATTCCTTGTTGGTGAATGTTTTGTCTTAAATATTAAAATATTTCACTTTACTCCCTTCTTGTTTCCACAGTTTCTGAGGAGAAGTTGGAAGTAGTTTTTATCATTGTTCTTGTCTTGGTAAAGTGTTTCTTCTCTGTCTTCTTTCAGAATTTTTCTTTCTTTTATTGTTATGTAGTTTGCAAATGTTATGTCTAGGTGTAGGTTTTTGATCTATATGCTGTTCATGTATATTCTCAGTCATTATTGTTTCAAATATTTGTGTTGTTTTTTTTCTCTTTCTTCTTCACGTTCTGCCCTTTCATTACATGTATGTTACACCTTTTGTAGTTGTCCCACAGTCCTTGGATATTCTATTCTTTTTTTTTTTAATCTTTATTTTTGGTATTCATTCTCTTTGCCTTTCAGTTTTGGAGGTTTCTGTTATCCTCAGGCTCAGAGATTCTTTCCTTAGCCATGACCAGTCTACTAATAAGCCCATCAGTGACATTCTTCATTTCTGTTACAGTGTTTTGACCTCTAGTCCTTCTTTTTGGTTCTTTCTTAGAGTTTCCATTTTTATGTTTATATTACCCATCAGTTCTTTCCTACCGTCTACTTTCTCCATTAGTGCCTAAGCATGTTAATCATAGTTGTTTTAAATTTCTGATCTGATGACCCCAACATCCCTTCCATGTCTGATTTTGATGCTTGCTCTGTCTCTTCAAGTGGTGATTTTTGCCTTGTACTTTTATTATGGTTATTCAAGCTTGATGTAGCAAGCAAAAGAAACTGCTATAAGTAGGCCTTTAGTAATATGATAGAAGGTATTGGGGAGAGAAAACATTCTATAGTCCTGTGATTATGTCTCAGTCTTTTAGTGAATTTATGCTGGTGAACTGTGGACTTCACAAGTGTTTCTCAGTTGTTTTTTGTTTGTTTGTTTGTTTGCCCTCTTAGGTACAACAGAATAGCTAGGGCAGGCTGGAGTTGGATATTTCCCTTCTTGTAGGTCAATTTGGCTCCAATAATACCATAGAAGTTTAACTAGTAGCTTTTCCTGAGGTAGGCCTTGTTTAATCATATTTCAAACTGATTTCTTTAAGTGTTACATTATATTTCAAACTGATTCTTTTTTCCTCTTCCCTTACTGAAAATGTGATAGGACTTCTCTCCTATAAATATGTGAGAACCTGGTTGAGCTTCTGAAGGTAAAACAAAAGTGTGGGCATTGCCCAAGACTGGACCCTTTAGAGGTTTTTATCTCACAAATTTGTCTATATTGAGTTTCCAACAATTTGTCAACTATAGTTCAGTTTTTCCTACCTTTCCACTGATTTCTGTGATAAGCTCTGCTCATGAGTCCCTGTTGTTGTAAGCCATGACTTTCTGTATTTGTCTATTTCTCTCTCCAATCTTGGGGACAGTGATTTGCCTTGTGTCTTCACCTCTTTTATAGATCCAGAAGAGTTGTTGATTTTTCTTTTATTCTGTTCAACTTTTTACTTGTTAGGACAAGGTGGTTACTTCCAAGCTCTATATGAAACTAGAAACTGAAAGTCAATTGAGTTAACTCTTTTCAACATTATTCCTTATATATCTGTATGTATAAAATCCTTTATAATTTTCCTGTGTAAGAAAATAAAATGAAAACTTTCATTATGAGTGTCAGTAAGTAGACAATGGGTATACTTTTTCAGTCTGCCTCACAATGGCTATTCTGATCACAGGGTTGAGTCAAAGTTCAGGATGTCTTATGTTAACCAATCTATTGAGAGGGAGTTAATATTACATGTGGTTATCCATTTTAAAAGATACCATCTAACCCCTGTAAGAATGGCCATCATTAATAAAACAAACAACAACAGATGCTGGCGAGGATGTGGAGAAAAAGGAACGCTTCTACACTGCTGGTGGGAATGCAGACTAATACAACCTCTTTGGAAGACAGAGTGGTGATTTCTGAAGGAACTAGAAATTGACCTTCCATATGACCCAGAAATTCCCCTATTGGGAGTATACCTGGAGGAACTCAAATCATTCTACAAAAAAGATACCTGCACACATATGTTTGTTGTAGCTCTATTCACAATAACAAAAGCATGGAACCAACCGTGTTGCCCATCAAAACTGGACTGGATAAAAAAATGTGGTATATGTATACAATGGAATATTATGCAGCCATAAAGAAGGGCAGATATATGGACTTTGCAGCAAATTGGATGGATTTGGAGTCAATCACACTCAGTGATTTATCACAGAAACAAAGAACTGAGTTCCGCTCGAGCTTGCATCCTGTCCCGTGATGCAAGTGCCTCCTGTAGCGCTGCTGCTCTTGGCACAGGGTACCATCCAGGCCGAGCCCGTGCATTTCAAAGTTTGCAGTTCTGAGGTTGGAGTTATAATGGAAGTGAATGTGAACCCATGTCCCACCGAGCCCTGTCAGCTGATCAAAGGACAGTCTTACAGTGTCAATGTCACTTTCACCAGCAATGCTCCATCTAAAACCAGCAAGGCCATGGTGCATGGCATCATCCTGGGCGTCCCAGTTCCCTTTCCCATTCCTGAGCCTGATGGCTGCGAGAGTGGAATCAACTGCCCCATTCAAAAAGACAAGACCTATAGCTACCTGAATAAACTACCTGTGAAAACTGAATACCCCTCTATAAAACTGGTGGTGAAGTGGCAACTTCAGACTGAAAATGGGCAAAATCTCTTCTGCTGGGAAATTTCAATACAGATAGAAGGCTAGAGCTATTGGGTGCCAGTATGTCTCTCTGGGGTGAGGGACACAGGTGGAGGGAGGGAAGAAGTGGAGGAGCAGTCATCTGAAACTGAATCAGTGCCATGAGATGAAAGGAATTCCAAAAACTGCTGTCTTACGCCTCTCAACCTCGAAAAGCATCTAAGATCCTAAGTTCACAACTGTCGCCTTTGTAATATCCTTGTAAAAACGTTGAAGGGAAGAAGACAGAGTGAACTGTGGGGCTTGATTTAATTGTCTTCATTGCTTTTTGCTGTTGGAATAAGGAAGACTCCAGGAGACAGGACCTGAAGGGATTGCTTAGGGGACATCCGATAACTTGCCCTAGGGTATCCCCTCCAGTAAAGCAAGGGCTGTGGCCCGCTTTCATCCTGCTGGGAAGTTTTGTCCACAGTCACCTCATCTCTAAGTGCCTCCCTGAGTTTGGTGCATGGGACCAGCGAGTCTGCTGGCTCCTGACAGCACCTCCAGTTCTGCCGCTTCAGCCACGGCAACTTGCTCTCCGGGGTGGTGCCCAGCGACTCAGTAGAGAGGAGGTGTTCTGTGGCAGGGTTCAGCTCTGGGTGGCTGGTTCTCTGTGGTCCTCCTCTCTTTTTCTGTCTAAGGTCGTTTTCATTAAGTGCAGCACTTGGTAAGTAGACGTTTGATTTTTTAAAAAAATTTTTAACAGTATTAACCCATGGCCTCTTTCTGCCCCTGCAAATGTACCTTTGAATAAATAAAAACTCGTCAGTCTTGTCTTCTGAAAAAAAAAAAAAAAAGAACTGAGTTCCATATGTTCTCACTCATAAGGTGACCTTGAACAATTATAATGCTATAAGAAAGCGATTGGCAGTAGCAGGGGAAGGGGGGTGGGATCATCAGTTGGGGGAAACTGCTAGGGGAGGGAGGGGCATACCTCATCAACAAGGGTAACTGCATGATCAATGTTTGTATACCTAACCCTGAATTGTACCCCGCATGTTTATAATAAATAAATAAATTTTAAAAAATTAACAGAATCACGATCTCTTTTCCCAAATATATGGGGTTTGATAGCATTTAAAGAAAGTAAGTAATAAAGAAGCTTCTATCACATTCTGTGCACAGTGTATCACAACACCTCCTGGCAGATCTAACCTGCAGAAGCTGCATCTTCAAGTATTAAAGAAAAAGTGAGAGAAAAGAAGAGACGTTTTCAGCTAGAGAACTGTGCATAAGTAAAATTGCAAAATTTAGCAAATAAAAATACAAGACACTCAGTTAAGTTTGAAATTCAGATAACAAATACAGTTGACCCTAGAACAGCATGGTGGTTAGGAGTGCCAACCCTCTACACAATCAAAAATTTGTGTATAATCTTTGATTCTCCAAAGTCTTAACTACTAATCGCCTACTGTTGACTAGAAGTCTTACTGATAACATAAACACTCAATAAATGCATATCATATATGTATTATATTTTGTATTCTTACAATAAGTAAACTACAGAAAAGAACATGCTATTTAAAAATCACTAGGAAGATAAAATGTATTCACTGTTTATTAAGCAGATGGGAACATTGTAAAGGTCTTCATTATCAACTTCATGTTGAGTATGTTGAGGAGAAAGAGGAAGTAGAGAACTAGGGATTGCTGTTTCAAGAGTGGCAGAGGCAGAGAAAAATCTACCTATAAGTGAACCCACACAGTTCAAATCTATGTTGTCCAAGGGTCAACTGTAATTTTTTAGAATAAGTGTGTTCTAACATAAAGAAACTCTCATAACTCAGGCACTCTAAGTACAAGATTTTCTGTTAGAAAGTAATGTGGAGAGCCGGGCTCGGTGGCTCAGCCTATCATCCCGCGCTTTGGGAGGCTGAGGTGAGTGGATTGCCTGAGCCCACGGGTTCAAGACCCGCCTGGGCAACTTGGCAAGACCTCATCTGTACAATAAATCAAAAACTCAGCCGGGCTCGGTGACTCAGCCTGTCATCCCGCGCCTTTGGGAAGCTGAGGTGAGCGGATTGGCTGAGCCCGCGGGTTCGAGACCCGCCTGGGCAGCAAGACCTCATCTCTACAATAAATCCAAAAAATCAGGCGGGCGTGGTAGCGCGCGCCTGTAATTCTGGCTACCCGGAAGGCTGAGGAGGAAGGATCGCCGGAGCCTAGCAGGTTGAGGCTGCGGTGGCCAGGAGCGGCCACTGCACTCCAGTCTGGGCGACAGAGTGAGACTCCGACTCAAAAAAAAAAAAATAAAAATCCATTTAACAGAACTGAATGCTTACTATGACACTTCCCTCAATAAGATGAATAAGTAACGGTCTCTTATTCCACAAGACCTGTTTGTCTGTTTGATCTTGTGAAAGATATTTACAAGCCATATCTACAATCACCATGCAACACAGTATGTTCATTAGTAGAGCTATGTGCTAAAGATGTGGTCTACCTCTTGATAAGAAACTATCTGTGAGGCTCCATGTCCTCTACATCAGACACCAGACGACGTACCCTTTCATTTAAAAGCCTCTTTGGTCTAGCCTGTAGATATCTCTGAAGCGTATGTTCTACTTCTCCCTCTCAATATGTTCTTTCTGCGCATGCTTTCTTCAGTGTGTTATGTACTTTAGAATTAGATGCTTTGCTTATACTGTTTCCACCAGACCTTCTCCTTATCCGTTCATCAAAATCCAACACCATCTTTGAAAGTGAATTCAAAGTATGCTTCCTTTGCAATGTTTTTTCCCATTCCCTTCAGTCAGAATCAGTCTCTTTCTCCTCTGTCCTACCAAGCAAATTCACTTAGACGACTGTTGTGGAATGTAACCGTAATCGTTTTAGAATGAAGTTTCTCTTGCATCAGTCTATCTCCTGCACTTGTTTATTGTGAGTGGGAACACAATTTATTCGTTTTTGTGTCAGCTCCGTGAATAGCATATGACATGTGTTCAGGACATGTTTGTATTGCCTTTACAGATGGAATTAGGCTGTTATTTCTATAAATGCAAACAATCATGAGAATAAAATCTATTCTCAGTTAAGTGCCTGAGGGTAGAGTTTTGAATTCAACGGAGACATAAAAACTTGACACACATTTATTGTGACATGGAATTGGCAATATGACACACTCCAGTGTGAATGGAAGGATAGCAAGTATGTGTTGTGAACAGAAACAAAGAAATTTGCACAATATGTAAAGCACAGCCTTGTTTATATAAAACAGTTAGTATTTTTATATACATTCGGTTATGTATGAAAGAACCTGAAAAACGTATGCTAAATTATTGTTGCTGGGAGTGAAATTATGAAAAAATTACCCTAGGTTATAAACTTCTACAGTATTTCGATGTTTTACGATGAGCAGTTATAAATTTTGTAAACAGTAAAAAAATTTTGGAAAATAATAACCCAAGGAATTATGTTATTGAATGTTTGCCTATTATTGCTTGCATATTAAAACTTTCAACCTTTGTTTAGCATAAAAATAAGACTTTTTTTTTTTTTTGAGTTGGAGTCTCACTCAGACGCCCAGACTGGAGTGCAGTGGCCGCTCCCGGCCACCGCAGCCTCAACCTGCTGGGCTCCGGCGATCCTTCCACCTCAGCCTTCCGAGTAGCCGGAATTACAGGCATGTGCTACCACGCCCGGCTGATTTTTTTATTTATTGTAGAGATGAGGTCTCACTGCCCAGGCGGGTCTCGAACCCACGGGCTCAGGCAATTCACCCACCTCAGCCTCCCGAAGGTGTGGGATTACAGGCTGAACCACTGAGCCCGGCTTAAAAATAAGACTTTTTAAATAATAAGTAAATGACAGTGATTCTATTTTTATTTTTATTTACTTTTTTAAAAATTGAGAGTAAAAGTAAAAGACATAATGTTTGAAGTACATATACATTATAGAAGGCTAACTTTAGCTAATTAACATATACATTCTCTGAATTGTACCCTATATCTTTAAAATAGAAATAAAAAAAATAAACCCAAAGCCTTATACCTTGCCTCGCAAAGCTGTCATGTTTGTGATGAGAATACTTAAAAACTACTGTTGTCATTTTTTAGGAACATAATATATTGCTAGCTATAGTGACCATGTTATACAATCGATCTCATAAACTAATTTCTTCTATCTTACTAAAATTTTCCCTCCTTTAACCAGTATCACCTCAACATTCTCCTCACACCAACCACCACTAAATTAGTCACTGGAACCGTTTTTCTTTTCTCTACTTCTATTAGTTCAACTTTTTTACATTTTTATTTTATTTTATGATAGAGATGGGTACAAGTAAGGATGAACTACACAAACGGGTTGCATGCAGGTGAAGTCTGGGTCTCCAACTGGCCCTTACTCGCCCCAGCATAGAACCAGGCACCCTTTGTGTTGTTACATGCTCCCCCTTGACTGGCAGTACCCAGTAACTGTCCTTCCCTCCCTTGTGCTAATGTGATTAATGTTCCAGTCCCACTTATGAATGAGAACATGCGGTATTCAGTTCTTCGTTTCTGTGATAGATCACTCAATAAACATTCCACGTAAGAGTGACGTGATGTGGCATTTGTCTTTCTGAATCTGGCTTATTTTGCCTAACACAATGTTCACAGGCTCATCTATGCTGTTGCAAATGACAGGGTATCCTTCCTTTTAAAGGCTAAACTAAAATTACATAATTTTATTTATTTATTTATCCTTTGATGGACACTTAAATTTCTTCCATGTCTTGGCTACTGTGAATAATCTGCAATAAACTTGAGAGTGAAGCTATCTCTTCAACATACTGATTTCATCTTCTTTGGATATATATCCAGAAGTAAAATTGTTGAATGAGGTAGTTCAGGTTTTAATTTCTTGAGAAACTCCCTTACAGTTTTTCATAATAGCTATATTAATTTACATTCCCATCAATGGTATGCAAAGGCTCCCTTTTCTTCACAGTCTCTCCATCACTTGCTATCGTTTGTCTTTTTTTATTATAGGTATTCTAATAGGTGTGAGGTGATAGTTCGTTGTGATTTTAATTTGCATTTTCC